GTACAAAACATGTGTTTTATTTAAATTCGATATTTCCTATCTATTTCCTCCTAATTTCGTAGTAAGCAACTATTTCCTCCTAATTTCGTAGTAATATTTTACTACGCCTTTACGAGGAAAGTGTTTACTACGGCATTACGAGGAAAAGTACTTTTTCCTCGTAAGCTCCTCGTAAATTTACTAAGGTCTTACGAGGAAAATGTTTCCTCGTAAGTTTTCGAGGAGCTTACGAGGAAATTTGCTTTCCTCGTAAGATCCTAGTAAAGGCTTAGTAAATTTACGAGGAAGAGTTTTCCTAGTAAAATTTCCTAGTAAATGCTTTGTTTTCTTGTAGTGAACACACAAGTTTATAGTTTACAATATCTTCTCAAGTTTTCAAAGTCTTTATATCATTTTAAGAGCTGCCAAAAACCAAAACGATCACAAATCTCAAAATAATCCCAGAAAAGAAACAAACAGAAATACCAATCTCTTTATTTATAATCTACCATTACGGTTTCCAAAGGCGTCGCTTCTGTAGTAAAACTGATCGGTATAGTCGTTCTCGTTCGAGTTATCTTCTTCATTGTTGGTGTGCCTTTTGTGACGACCATATAGACCATAACCGTGACCTGTATCTCGGACAAAGACAGGCTCTTGCTCTTCTTCCCCATCTGTTATGCTTGGGTGATTTTCCGGCACCGGTATATTAATATTACGGTTTGTATCGGTAAGTTCGGTTATGGTTTGGCTGTTTGTTGCTTGTGTTTCCGTTAGAAAGAATGAAATGATGAAAAAGTTGAAAGAGAGGAGAGCTGTGAGATTTAGTGATCGAGCCATTCTTCTTGGGTTTATGTTGGTCGTGTAGAGACTATATATTTGAATATGAGGGTGCACCATTGCCAAACGTTTGGTGGATTAATTGGTCAGAATAGTTATTCATACTTTACCAAACGTTTGGTAAAATAAAATTAAAGCTGATGAGAATGATAGTTTCATTAGTTTTGTTCCTTGATTTGCGGAAAAGCAATTTGAATGATCGATCACCGAAAGTATAAAGATGTTAGTACTCCTTTAAAATATTTTGTTTGAACATAGGACATAGCTCACCAATAGAAAAACTGGAGGATACATAACAGTAGGACTGGACAAATAAACCGAATCCGAAATTCTGAACTGAACCCGATCCGATAAAAATGAATCCAAACAGATCCGAACCCGATTTAAATACCGAACGGATCTTGTTTTATGGTATTTCGGGTTATGGGTATTATCTGAACCGTACCATAATTAAATGGATATCGACTAGAACCCGAAACGTTCAATTTTTTTATAAGAACGTGTACCAAACATGATCTTATTTCCTAATATATATCAAAAATATTTTAAATTAATACTAAACATCTAAAATAATTATCTATTACATGAAGGTTGATGGTTGAAGGTGGCGGTTGAAACTTGCAATTTTTAGATTAAGGTTTTGTTATTATTAAATAATGTTTCTCATTTTTTAAGAACTTGGTTTTCATTTTATGCTTTCACTTATTTGGTTTTCTTTCTATTAATAAATATGTTTACCTTTCATTTGATTTTGAATGATCAGTTTGATGTTCCTTTCTTATTTTTGAATCAATTTTACTTATGTTTTGGTTAGAAAGTAAGTATAAATTAAGTATTTTAAAACCAAAGAACCGATTGGGACCCGAATCCGAAAGTATAACGGGTTGTACCGGTTCTTTAAAGATTTACTAACCCCGACCCGAACCCGATAGAATCCAAACCGATCCCAAACCAAACTTTCAAATAATCCGAATAGGGCTGATTTTGATAAATCCGAAGAATCGAGACCCAATTGGACAAAACCGAAACCCGAATGGGACCCCGAATGCCCATACCTACATAACAGATACAATTTTTGGGGTATTTGTATAAGTTCTACTTTCTGTTTTAATAGCAGTGAGAAAGGTGAAGAATCTTACATATGTTTATATTTATAACTAGTGGTTGGTGTTTGTCTTCGTATTGTTGTGTTTTAATTTATACTAGGTAATAACCCGCGCCTTGCGCGGAATGAGATTACTTTTGTTACTTTTAAGATAAAATGATATTATGTATGTTTAGTATGAATATTGGTTCAGTTTCACGTTGTTTTTTTAATCTCCTAAAATATAACTATCATTCTAAATCTATATCTATTTTGGTTTGTTTGGTTTAAATATTTGATGTTTTTGATTTTTTCGATGATAACCAAAAACTATTGTTATTTTTTTGTTTCGTTTTATATAAATTTTAGAAAATTTTTCTGTCAAACTAATAGTCTCCTATTATAATTTCCAAAGACATGTAAAATCAAATAAAATCTAAATAATATTTGAAAAAAAAAAGAAAAAAAATTTTAACATAAAACATTTCACTACAATTTGAGTGATAGTGAAAGAAAACATTAAAAAAAAATTTAACTTCAACAAGAATTAAATTATTCACTTGTGGTGAATATTTACTTATATAGTCGCTCATGTCAATGTGTAGATGTATGTATATGTAAAAGTATATAAATGTGATGATAAATCTATGTATATACCGTTAATTAAGATTTAAAATATTTTTGTTCAAAATAACACATGATAGTAAATTCTTATATAAAATTAAGTAAAAATAAAACAAACATAAAAATTAATAACATTTTTGCATATGAAGAAAATCAAATTGTACCCGTAAACAATAAAATAAAATATATTATAAAGTGACATTTTCACTTGGTACCTGAATTCTATTTTTAATCGATTTTATGGTTTTTATTTCTTTTTAAAACTTTTCTGATTTCTGATTTTTTTTACCAATTTGATTTTGTTTCCAATTCTTGTTCTGATATGAAAACTTTATAAATGTATTAATATTTGACTAAACGAAATATGCGACTTTACGTGTGGTGTTTTTCACCTCAGCTTCTCTAATTCATAATCAATCACCTTATTTGTTGTTATTGTGTACCGAAACCTCAACCATGACCAACTTCGGCAAGGTACGAAACTCTAAATTACTACAAACATTTTCATAGCAACATTTTAGTTGATGCGAATCTTAATGATTTTGTAACTTTTTAGCATAAAGATATTATTCATTAATTTCACGTAGAAAGTTTTAGTTTATTAATACAAATCTAAAAATGTAGAAAAAATGAATTAGTTAAAAAATAGTATATAAACACATTAAATAATTAAATTTAAAAATTATTGTGTGAACGCATTTATTGCCAAATGATTGTGAGACCGACACGTGTCAATTATGGTGTGACGCATTTATCACAATGCTTCTTTTTTAGACTTTTAATATATAAGGGATTTTTATATTTATGCTGTAAATTAGCTTAAGAATTGCTAACTTTTCTACAATTTTTAAGTTTTAAATTCAATTAGTAGTACTCGCCCTATGGCAGCCCTAGCTCTTGAGAGGAGAGTTTATTTAATGGGCAATGTGGTTAGGCCTTTGAAGTTGAGCTATATTGATTACTAATGCGCAATTGTATTATGCATATTACAAAATATAAACCGATTGAGTAAATGGGATTATTGACATATTAAAAGAAGTATATGGATAATATGTTTTGTCAGTTGGTTAGCATTTCGGTGACAAATGATTGGCCAATAGTTGGAGGTGGTGGAGGTACTTCTTCACGTTATGTAAATATTCAGTGACCCATGTACAAAGAGTTTATGGGTGAGATCATTTGTTGCCAAAAGAGTAAAAAAACAACAACGATTTATCGTTATATATGATGGTGACTTAACAGAAACTTACCAACAATTCTCTAAGAATGCTTTAACTAAATTTGCATACGGTTCAATGTGTAATCATCGACGTCATTGCTGTATAAAGCTCCAAAATATTCTCTGCTGACCAAAACTCTCAAAAACTTATGATTGCTTTGTATGTTAAGCTCACATTAGTCTGCTAGAGACCATATACGCGCTAAAGCTAGCTCGACTCATACGTTCAAGTCATCTTTTGTTCTTTTTGAGAAGATAAATTGTTACTAAAAGTTAGAAATGTAAAAAGTTAAGTTATTAACCACAGCTTGAGGACATGAAACAAAATGAAGTTAACATTGCTAAAAAGGTTTGGAAGTCATGTTTGGTTTTAAAAGGTTTAGTAAATAAATTATAAAAAAAAAAAACAGAGAAGAAAGAAAAAAGAATACGTGAAATATAACCATAGCTTTTTTCTTAGAAAAACTAAATGAAAACAAAGCTTGCGAAAAAGTAGAGGAGTTTTCATTTGGCTATCTTCAGCAGCTATGCCTTCTTAAGCTCCCTCTCCACCGTAGGAACATGTAGTTCCTTTGCTGAGGTCCCGACACCAGTCTCTTCCTCAGTACTGTTGTTTCAGTAAGTAGACATGTTGACGTCACCACTGCCGGTGGCCTGATCAGTTGCACACAACTTGTGGCATTTAGAGCAGACACAGAACACACTATAGCTCTTGGCATATCATCACCTAGAGGTAGTTAACATGTAATGCAAAATTTGCAGTCAGGGAAAGCTAGTGGCGATCAAAGAAACATGTGTACGAAACTAATTAACCATGAATATATGGATGAAAATATTCAAAGCATCGACGACCTGTTCCCAATCTTTTTTTTTAAGATCCAAGAGGTTGATGATTGGATGTACCGCCTTATAAACACATTATTAGATTAACTAAAGTAGCTGGACTAAACCACATCCCCAGCTTCTCTGTAAGATTTGAGTTCGCAAAGAGGGCATGTTTTCTGTCCTATAACCATAAGTGCAGGCAGATTCATTTTTTCACCAAACTATTTGAGTTTTAGACACATAACAGGAGGATGAGAAGCATTACGTGAGTATCTTAAGAAAATCAGCACAGATGGTGGAAAGAAACCGCAACCCTCCTGGATGTGTATTCACGCTCTCAAAGAAATTTTCACATGTTGGCTTTAGAGCATGTCTCAGATTCCACTCAATGCGATAAAAAAGAAGATATAGCCTCCATCGTTGGAGAATAAATCTCTCCATTTTCAGCTAAAGAGCGCTCGTTCATCAACGGAGCAATCTATTGAAAAATATCAATCAAAATTAAAAAATTAAGATATTGCTTTTCTTTAACTTCCTCTTTGTTATCACATTCTCACTACAAGAAAACTCGTCCATTACTAGGACGGGTTTTCCTCGTTAATTCCTAGTAAATGGCCTTTTACTAGGAAGTTACGAGGAAACACGTTTCCTTAAAACACGTTCATTGTAAAGCCATTTTCCTCGTAAGGTCGTAACGAATTTACGAGGAAAGCTTTCCTCGTAAAGGCGTGGAAAATTTTCCTCGTAAGGTCCTCGTAAGCTCGTAGTAAACATTTCCTCGTAAGGTCGTAGTGATACATTACGAGGAAATTCCTAGAACTGTTTACGAGGATATTACTTGGAATATTTTACGAGGATTTTGCTTGGAAATGTTTTTTTCCTATTAAAAATAATTACAAATAATTAATTTATTTTTAAAAAATAAAAATAAATAATATTATAAATAAAAATAAAAAAACAAAATATTTTATAAATAACTAGATAATATACAATAAGTTTTAAATTCATAATATACAAATAAAAATAAAAGAAACTACGGATGCTGGTCATGAAATTGCTGACTGAACAAAACGTCGTCCTGGCTCGGGAAATCCTCTCCATAGTTGGTTGCCGGCTGTGACTGTGATGGCGGAGGATGTTGGGTACTTGGAATCCCTGCACGTTCCTGTCTCTGACGCAACAGCTCCTGCACTTGCGGGTTTCCAACCGCCATAATGTCGAGGATATCGGTGAGAGAAGTGACATTCT